AAAACTTGACTCTAAATGTGGGTTCCACCATGTAGCACTTAACTTTCGTAAGATTCTAGAGGTGATTTTCACAGTATAGCACTTAGCTCCTGTCTGACTGGTAACTACTTTGATACCATTTGTGAAGACTCATACTCAACCTACGAAGTTTTGTTCGCTTTGACTTGAATGTCTCATAGTTTTGTTTCATAAAATGTATCTCAGAAGTTTGAGTTTAAACTTCTACTTTTATATCATAGCAGATCTTCAGAATCTCTTAATGTGAGATTAGGGTGTCACACATCTCCTTGGCTAGCTTATCTCTAAACCCTGTCTAAGTATCACTTGGCTCGACATACTTAATCAAATCATGATCATCATCTCCTTCTGCTTGGTATTACTCATTTGAACAATATCACATTTAATAAGATTAATTAGCATCTTAGACCTAATAAAATTATGAAAAATCCAGTAAGCAAAAATGATTCTACACTGTGTTTTAATTAGATAAAATAATTTTTCCCTTAAAATTGCTCATCTAGCTTTCAATATACCAAAATGTCTTTCAATGCACTTTCTTAAAAATGTTTTATATTGAAATACTTTTAGGGGTGTTGTATAAGATTTTTTTTTATTGTAATTATATTGAAAAAAAAATGGATAACAATGGAATGAATAAGACAGGAGGCGGTCCACAAATTTTCACTTATTCTATTTCTATGTTTTTATCTTAGAATTTCGTGTATTTTTATTTTATTCAAATTTTTGCTAATTTCATGTTTTGATTGCCTCGTGCAATTCCATTTTTTTTTTATTCCGATTTTTTTCGGGTTGCTAACTCAACGGTAGAGTACTCGGCTTTTAAGTGCGACTAGCAAATAATATCTATTAGTTTTTTTAGGTAAGATAATGATCTAAGATGTGGTGAATTAGATCTCTTCAAATTCTTTCCATACAATAATTTCAATATAATTGAATGTAAGATTAAAACCAATATCAAAATATGATACAAATAATAATAAATTGATGAACTTGAAGCAAATATAAACAATAATCAAAGTAAAAAGATAGGGATAGAGAAATCAAATATAATGATTTATAAAGGTTCGATCCTTCTCTATAAGGTACCACATCCTCTTTCTTGGTTATCCACCTCAAGGCTTCAATCTACTAATATTGAATTGAAAATAAAACCTTATCTTTTTCTCTTTAACGTTTAAGATAGAAACTTAATTCTTTCTATTTTTTTAGGCTAAGTAGCAACCTCTCAACCTCATAACTACAAGAGGATACCTCACCTCTTGGTTTACAAAATCACTCAAATTGAATGCAAATTAAAACATCTCTCAAAGGCTAAGTGTTTACCTAATGAAGTACAAAGAAATATGATGAATGAACAATAACAATGATTTAGATACAACAAATAAAAAGATATAGATTTTAAAACTCTAAAACTCTTGATTTATTTGAAAGAATGAATATATGACTTGTTTGATTTTATTCTCTTAATTCATTAACTTCTTAGTGTGTTAGAATGCCTAATTTATAGAGTAATTGAGTAACTAGCCATTGGAAAAGCTCAAAAAATGAAAACACATGATTTTTTCTTTTGAAACTAGTCGTTGGAGCTTATTTGGGCCAAAGGGATCAATTGGTTTTTATAGGGGATCGATCGGATGCATTAGGGGATTGATTGGTTTTTAAATTTCACTTAATTTTTGACCGTTACAGCTAAAGGGATCGATCAAGTACCTTAGGTGATCGATCAGATCAAGTTGGGTTTTGGATTTTATATGAATAGTATTGCTAGTTGTCTCCTATTTTACACTCAACTCACTAATTTAATCATATCTTAAGTTATATAACTCCAAATCAAGATCTATTTGAAGATTTAGAAACTAGACTTAAATGGCTTTCTATCCACATAAAATTCATCATCTAATTCATTGTTTACAAATTATAATGATTTTTCAAAACTACTCTTTGTGTAATTTTTAGACAACTACATAGTATCTAGTAAAAATTTAAAATCTTTTTTTAAAAAATTTGGATTTTGATTTTATTTTTGTTTGATCCATTAGAAAATAAACTTAATGAGCTTTTCAGTCATATAAAATTCAAATACTAAAACTTTGTGAATTAATACAGAAAAAAATAAAACAAGTTTAATATTGAAAAACTTTATTCTTTTAAAACAACTTTATTAAGTTAATCCATTTCTCAAAACTAATATTATCAAAATTGTATTGAGTCCAAGATGAATAAGTTCACTTTAAAAACAATAATTAGGCTTTCATTTAAGCTTAAATAAATAATCTTTATAAATAGATTTGGTTTGAAAGATATGAAAACAAAGAAAGGTTTGTTTGTACTTTGAAAACTTAAGAACATATACTAAATAAATCTTTTTCAAAATCTTAATCAAGTTTATTTAGCTTAATATTTTTTCATTTCAAAATAAGGATCAATTCAAGGCTAACAGAATCTTTGACCTCTATAAGATGCTAAAACATTTTTCCTATTTATGGATCCAGCATCACGCAAGTAGTAAAAATCTAATCTAATATCATAACATTAATATACATTTAATATGTGTTCCATGACATAACTAAAACCAAAATATTAAAGTTAATACCTTGTGGTATCCTTAAACCATTTCTACATGTAATAGCATCCTTTAAGCACTCTATCATTTGTTGCAGAACCTTTCTATCCTGGTAGAATATAAATGACTTGCATGTTTGGTGTGCAAACACCAAGAACATTGGTAGCAATTTTATTTTTCTTAGTCCTATACCTAGGCTTATCTATTGAGTCTACATTTAACCTTATGTCGGTTCCATTTAAAGCACCCAAATGACCTAAACCCAACAACTCTGATTAATAAATTATACAAAATTGAGATTTATTAATATTTATTCAAAGCAAGCAATGATTAATATATTACCTTGAGCCATCTTCATCTATTATTTGTTAAATTCATTATTATCGATTTAGATTTTTTAAATAATAGGGAATGTAGTCTCAAAATAAAATTCAACACAGTATGAAATTGCTTACTAATTATCTTTGCAGATCTGCTACTTGATGCTTCATAACCCTATTTGTTATATGATGAACAATGATGTAAAAGAAGCTAATAACCATTTTTTTATTGATATATGTCTAGATGCCTTTAATTCTCATTGTGTTTGAAGCAATTTACATAATTTTGTAAAAACTCTTATATTCATTCTATAATTATCCACACTCTGTATATCACTTTCAAATACCATTTTGTTTAAGTTTAATTATCTAATCTGAAGCCTATCAAGAGTTTCATTAGCATAAGAAATTTTACGTCTTTGTCTAAGTTTCATAACAACTAATGTCACAGCAATAATAAGCAACAGTTGAAACATACTTTTCATTTGGTTCATTTGCAAAATAAACATTGTTACCAATTGCATCTTCTTTCTTATTGATAAATGAGCCATAATTGTTTATAAAAAAGGATTTTTATCAATGTTGAAAACATGTGTCGAAAGCAATAATGTGCATTTGGTAAATCGAGATCTAAGCTACATCCAACAAAAAACAAATAACAAGAAAAATTTTGAGTATATCAAGAAATAGTAAGAAAATATTTGCAAATCAATAACAAACAACCAATAGCAAGAACACATATGATAGATCAACAACCTTTAAATCAAAATCTAACCCAGATTTACGAATATAACAAGAAGACATTTAACACCAGCAAATAATACAGAATAAATTGTACAAAACAGAAAGTAGACTGACTATACAATGATAAAAATAAACTAAAATAAACTACATAAAGATGAAATAACATAACTGGAAGGTGATGTTATGTGAAATATAAAAGATGTAACCTAGGGTTTGACTAAAGCTTTGCGATGTTGTCTAAAAAGGAAATATGGTTTATATCATGCTCATATGTTAGTTTATTTTGTTATTTTTATATATTATCAACGACGTTTTGAAACTAAAAAACATGATTATTATTAGTTACTACGTTTCCTAGTAATTAATTACTACATTTATCAATGGCTACATTTCTATAACAAAAAACGTAATTATTGATGTAAAAAAAATTTATATTTATCAAACACAATGTTTTTTATATAAAAAACATAGTTACAAATATCTTAAATATTCTATTATAAATATTATATCTATTATTACATTTTTATACTAAGAAATGTCATCAATAATGAAAATATTAAATTTATTTTGTTATTTTTTTAAATGATCAACTACATTTCATATGTAAAAAATATAGTACTTATAAAAATAAAAAACTTTCGATTTACTAATGATTACATTTCCATAATAAAAACGTGGTTCTTGATATAAAAAAATTTTATATTTATCAAATATTACATGTTTTACGTAAAAAAATATAGTTAAAAATATTATAAATAATTTGTTGTAAATATTCTATATTTATCAAATATTACATGTTTTACGTTTTCAAAATATTTAATTTATTTTTTTATTATTTTAATTGATCAACTACAATTCATATGTAAAAAAATATAATGCTTTTAAAAATAAAAAAATTTAAAATCATAAATTTGCAATAATTTACTATTTTTTTAAGAATGATTTTTCTTTTTAATCTATTACATGTCCAATCATTATAGATGTTTAATTTACTACATGTCCAATCATTATTAGATGTTTAATTGTACGACTAAGAATACAATTTTATCCAATCCTATGACTATGAATACAACTTTTTATGTCATAATAGATCTCAATTTATTATGTAATCACGTTAATTTTTCAGATTAAAATAAACCTAAAAAATTTATTATTGAGATCAAAAGTAAAAAACATTACTTTCCTTCAAATATCTTAAAAAATTTTAAAAACTGAATTTTTAATTCCAAACTATTTGAAACTATTAGGAATTTTAGAATACCCCTCGAACTATTTGAACATTGTTAGAAATCTTATAATAACCCAAAAATCAGATATCATAAACCAAATTAAAGAAGGTATTTCTGTACGCATAAGCACTGTCCTCTACATAGTAACCTGGGAGTGATGGGTTATTGTGACGCTCTTATCCTACTCCTGTTCATGAATTATTCAAAATACTTTAAAGCGCGAAAATTAAAAAAGTAAATACTTGATTTTGCCATATCAAACGCCAAAAATGAAATTATAGACAAAAAACTGCTGGCTAGCAACTGAATTACATGAAACAACACAAGTTACAGCAAGATATCATACTACATAGGTAGGACCAACAAAAACTAGGTAGGCAAGGCAAGGCAAGGAAATATATTTGGATACAGGAATAGCTGTAATATCTAGCAATGCTCATTATCATGCCTGAGATGTACGACACCAGTCCTCTTCGCGAACCTGCAGAGCACCCATCTCCATTTCCTCTTCATCATTCATCCACTAGATGGAGCAATTGACCACATGCTCCTCTCCCAATATGACTGAAGCAGATTTCAAGAGATCCAGATTGTGGGAACATCTACCTATAAACAGAAATGTCTTACAAGCTCAAAAACCTTTATCAACCAAATTAAATTTTTCATTTTCATCATCTCTATCGCCAAACAGGTGATCTTGATCTTGACCTCTTTCCCCTGCAAAAAAAGTTTGCAAATTAAACAAACTAGACGACCAAGAAAGTTGAAGATTCAGAACCGAGATCCTTTCACCTGTATTGCATGCTGTTTTGATAATGGTTGTGCATGTCTCAAAAACACTTAATCTAATTCTACCGACTGCATGGTAACATACCTGGTAGTCTCAAAAGAAGAGTAGGGAGAATGCCTGCGCTGAGAATGCTTGCTATGTGGTGACCGCGAAACTTGTCTAGAAATGAAAACATACATCATACTGATTTGGTAAGTTAAACATATATAACGAAAGAGAAATGCTCAGCCTTGTACAGAGTCAAACTTGATAATAACCACCCCGTTACATGAAGTTATCTTCTGGGGATAATGAAATGGAAACCGAACACCTTCAAGCAATAACTAAGAAAGTGCAACCCTTGGAAAAGGGAAAACAGAAAGTGACTGCAGGTTAAACAGCAGATTCTTCTTATTGAATAAATCAATATAAAATGACCTGAGCTTCATAACTTACAATACATAGCACCATTATTAATTTTGTCAAATTTCCATATAATTTTAAATGGAAGAAAAGCAAGCTACAGTTAGAAGGGAAAAAAGAAAATCAAGAATGGTTGTAACTATAAATGTAGTTAAGATAACATATAAAGGAATACATATAGTCAAGATAACATATGAAGGAAAGATAAGTTTCTGTTTCCCTGTTGGCTATTTAGTATCAAACATTAACATCTACATAATCAACACCAGACAACAGCACTCACATCAGAAATTTGTCTCACATTAATAGTCAAATTTGCTGATTAACATTTCATTGTTCACAAAAAGTAAAAATGAAGCAATATGTGATAAGAGACAGAAAAGAGAGATGAAGCAAGGGACTAGGGAGAACACTATGTGGTCATATATAGCATACAAAGATGACATATTTAAGAACACAACATACAAAGATCAACAACCTTACACACACAAACAAATGCAAGCAGTAATAAACGATATTTAAAAGGCCAGTGTCATATGTTTACATCTGAACCTTCAGGCAAGACATGAACTTTTCAAGGAGAAAAACCTCAGTAAATAATGTAGCCAAACACTTTATTGTCTCTTTATAGTGTTGCTTCCATAGACAATTAAGTCAATGGGTCATACTATATCTATTTGCAATTGATATGGTAAAAAATACCCAACCAAGAATAAAGCCAGTAACCATCCAACCTCTATTAAGTCAGCAAACACATGTAGTTGACAACACAACAACAATCAAAGACTAAGCTAAAAAATTAGCCTTGTGGAAACCATCCACTAAAACCATAAAAGAACTTGCAGACATAAAATGTAATTGAAACAGGTAAACTTTGTTTCTTTATTTAAGTTCATTTTAATTATCATGACAGTATCTCTATATGACCAATAAAACAATTTTTCAAAAGTTTAAGATCGCAGGAGTGGATGTCCAAAAATACCCTCATAAAAGAACAGATCAAGCCTGCCAAGAGCTCAGGCTTGCATAAAAAGAATATGCAAAACATGAATAAAAGCGATCAAGTACCGGTACAGTTACCTTCTCCTAGACCTGACAGGTGAAGGTGATCGTTTTCTTGAATGCAACTTCCTGTAGTACACAACAGACAATTAGAACCTACATAGCTTAATTAAAAGACAACAGGAATAAATATCGTTAGATCTCAACGATTAACCTCTTAGAACCATCTGATGCTTCATCACTTGAGTCATTAGCATGACAACTGGAGGTATCCTTGCTGTTTCTGCCTCTACTGCTAATGGATGAGGAGCGTCTTCCCCTATGCCTGCTTGAGTCACTTCCACGTTTATGTCTTGATCTATCTTCTTCTTTTGTCCGTCCTCTTTTTCTGTCAACATCTTCTTTGGCACTAGCTCTATTAGATCTCTCTGCATTTTTCTTGTCATCCTTTGCATCAAGATGGTTGGATCTTTTTCTTGAATCAGATTCCTTAGCTTTTCCCCCAGTTTTATGCTCTTTTACTGTCTCTTTTGAGCCATTTCGATCTTCTGTCTTCCGCTTTCGAAGCATCACATCCTCTCTCAGATGATTCTTATCTGCCTTCTCATCTTCCCTACTCCTACTGACCTCTAACTCCATATCACTACCAGGGTCCTTCCTAAAAGAACTTTTTCTACTTTCATGTCGATCATTCTTATCTGATTTTATTCTTGTTTCGCTGCCTTGAGATTCAGATTTTGTTGATTTTTTATCAGTATTTTTGTCAGGCAGCTCAGAATCAGATTTCTTTATCAACAGTTCTCCTAAAGTATCATTCATCTCAGAACCATTTTTTCCAACTTGCAGCTTTCCACTATTAAGGTTAATTTCATCTCCTGAAACAGTCTTGAAAGAAAATGTCTTGTCATGGTTCCTATCTGCACTGTTATCAGTAGTGGCATCTCTGTTGTTTTTTGAACTCCTCACATCACTTCCACAATTCTTTTCAACTCCACTGTGTTCATCAAGTACCATCTCTGAATTATCTTTCTCTGTTGCATCATTGTCTTGTGAAAGCTTCTTAATGCTGGACTGTGCAACAGCAGCATTACTCCTTGAATCTGGCATCCTGGAACTTTGAATTTCATCACCTTCATCTTCATCCTCGGAGGCATAATTTGCCAGGCCCAACACATTGACAGGAGAGCTTGAATTAGATTTTTCTCCAACACCAGAGGTGTCTGGTTCCTTTGCCTTACCTGGAATTAGTACCCTTGCAGAAGCCTTAGGAGTTGGGACAGGAGAGGAAGATGGTGAGACCTTGCGATTTGAAGCAATAGTGTCATGGTCAACTGCTGCTCAGCAGTGGTTAAAAAAATGGTTAAATTAAAAGAAAGATGGTACCACAAAGAAAACATCAAAGACAAAGTGAGCAGACTTCAATATTTGGTTAAGAAATATAGAGAAAAAAAATTTAGACACCAGCATTCACTTACGTTCAACTGTTGAATTATCTTCATTTACAACTTTGGTTGCAATTTCATCAAACAACTCATCTGTGACCTGTTCAAAGGCATGAAAATTACATCTATCACAGAAAAACATTAATATAGACAACCATAAGTGTTTAAACAGCTGCAACCTTTAAAAGCACTTCAGTTAGCACACGTTTTATTTCCTGGTTAATAGCTGCAGTTCTAGCTACTTCTACATAATCCTACACAGAACAAAAATGTAGGTCATGTCTCAAGGACATCAAATCATAATGACAAAACTCATTTAAAGCACACCGAGATATCAACAAGTTAAAGGAAGAAAAATATAAAACCTCATCATCATCCTCTTCTTCAGTTGATCTAGAAGAATCAATGCTTTTGCTATCTGGTTGATCACTTTTAGCCAAGGATTTATCTACTGCTTCATCCTCAATGGACTGTGTTTCCTCTTTAGAATGTTCTAGAGAAGACTTAGCTATAGTGGCTTTGTTCCTTAATATTTCTTCTTTAAGCCAATTAGGCACAGGACCCTATATAAAATTCCATGAGAAGAACTCAATAATAATATCATGAATGCTTTCAAATTTAACCACTATAAAGAATTCAATACCTTTTTGGGTCGTTCAGAAATGGTTCCATACATATCACCAGGAAAGGCTGCACCAGGATGAAGTTGAGCTCCTGTACCAAGACCAAAAGGAGCAGTGGCAGATGGAATGGGCGGCTGAAAACTTGGCCCAGGAAACCTTGGAAAAGTAGGTGCCGTGTGTCCAGAAACAGAAGAAGGCACTGACAGATGATCATGCTGAATAATGAATTTTGTATCAGCATAACTAAAATTGGGGAATAAATCAAAGATAACTGACAAGGCTTGAAGCAAGACCTGTGCTCCTGAAGGAAGAACTGGAGGAACTGGAGGATAAACCGCACCAGGTGCTACTGGAGGAGTCCAAGAGTTAATTGAAGATGCAGCAGCAATGGGATCAATGCCTCTCACAGTTCCCATTGATTCATGATGAGCAGCATAATTGGACTGCATTTGTGGGTCATGATCGTTACTAAACCTAGGTGTAAAATCTAAAGGCCGATCACTAAGATCAGCTGCAGGATCTGCTGTCTGACTGCCATATGCAAAGGATTGCTCACTCAGCACTGATCTACCAATATCAGGCAGTGGAGGTTGCATATGATATGCTGCCTCTTGAGCTAATGGAATGGGTAAGGGAAATGGCACATATGACTGCTCCTTTTGATTTGCAGAATTTTCCTTCCCTGGCATTTAAGAGAGAAGTCAAATAGCAAATCAAACAAAATCAGGCATCCCTAGCAGCCCTTTGGCTGTCATTCACATTAAAACCCAAATTTCTGTACTTCTATCTCCTTTATAGAAGATACTTGTTCACAGCAAGAGTAGCTTACTAGAGACAAAAGATGCACTTAAATCTTTTCACCAATAAATGCAAGAACTTAAATGTTTAGTGCAATCGTAGCTCAATCCTAAAAACATTACACGACTATATTAGTCAGTAATACGCTATTAAAATATCTCATAAGTCAATGATGACCTTTCCAGAGCTGAGAATCCTGATAACCTTTCAAAGAACAAGTTCAATTCAATTCTGTTGGCTTTTTATGTTGTTAAATGATGTTATCCTGTCTCTATCATGTTTTGGGTTTCTTGAGGTCTTATATTCAAGCTAGGTCTCTCCACCTATTCTCAATTGGTTTTACATTGGATGCTTAACATGATATAAGAGCCCAAGTTCTGTTATGTTGTTACCCCATGTGAGGTTGTTGATGTGTAAGCCCATGTTGAGCTACACGTGAGGGAGAGTGTTAAATACTTTTATCCTATGTATGTTATGTCTTGGGTTTCCTATGCTCTTATATTCAACTTGAGCCTCTCCACCTGTTGCCAATTGGTTTTGAATTGAATGCTTCACATATGTATTCAGAGAATATTACCTATGAGAATCTCTACTGGGGTGTTTGGACAGAGGGGGAGTAGATGAGAGTAGAGAGAAAGCCAGCAAAAGGTTTGTAAGTATTTTAACAGGGATAATGAAGTTTTGGAGATAAATTAAATCCCTTCAAACCCCTTCAGATCCTCGTATTTAAATTCCATTGAATCAGAATATATTGAAAGAATAGTATTTTTCACCTAATGGTTTTAGCTATTTACCCTCAAATTTTCATTTTAGTAATGATCTCATATCAGAGATCTATACTGGTAATATGAATTGCATACAAGTTCGCAATACCCTGTCCTCTAGTTTCCTCACATTACCACTCAATTACTTTACCTCCTTTTATCTTCCAACATTCAAGCACAAGTAAGTCGCCCATTTGATTTTCAAATTGAACCATCAGTTTATAAGATCAAAGCATTCAGCATGTGATATAGCAACCACACTGTGGCAGAGATATATGGCACAATAATATATATACACTCTTGCGCAATTTTTAACCTTAAATCAAATTTTCTGTTCATTTAATAAGACATATCGAGCAATGTGAAGCCTGTAGTTTGGTAACTTATAGCAAAGTAAGCAGCAAAAATAGAAGAAACCCACAAAAGTATCAAGCACTCCAGAAGTGGTCAACAAATTTCCAAATGCTATCAGTCCATTTTTAGTTTGTCATGCATTTGTAAGCCATATGCTTGTTTCCTACAGAACAGAATAAGCTACAACAAGAAGTAACGTGTCCATAGAACTCAATGTCATTAAATAATCTTCAACGGATTTAGTAGATATGTTTAGAGAAAAAAGAAAGAATAGTATTGATCTTTTAATAAATGGTATAGTCTTGGCAAACTGTAACATGTTGACATAATTTAGTATATATGTTAATCTAATCTAAAAGCAGTTAAAAATCCAAAAAGGGACAAAAAACTAGGAAAAGACCCTCTCAGATCATATAAATATAAATAAATAAATATATATATCCAAGTCAGTCACACTATTATTTCAGTTAGGCCACATGCCCTATACATCATGAGTTTATCTGAATGACAACTAATTAAAAGTCTTGTTTAGAAGTACAAAAAACTATTCAAAAATATAGAATGGAGTAAGAAGTCTGGTCTATAGAAGCATTTCTTCAGCACAAGCTTCAAAACCAAGTTCAATTTACCAAGTAAAATTATTACCTGAAACAGAAGAATAACTAGAAGGTACCTCCTGCTGATGAACAGATGAACTGGTAGGCAAAGTTTCTTGGTGAAGAAATCCATTGTTTGGGTCCAGAGCTGCAGTTCCATCTCGAACATGGTAAGGCAGACAACCATCAGGAGTATATGAAGACGGTCCAGAGCTGTTAGACAAAGTTTCATTGGGATAAGTTGTTGGTGGTCTATGAGGAGATGCAGATGTAACAGGGAACTTGTTATAGCTAGAAGCTGGCAGTGACTGTTGGGAATCCATATAATGAGAATCAACAGCTTGTGAATATGGATCATGAAAATGATTTTGTTCTTCTGGCCTGCCAGCTAGAGTAATTTGTGATTGCATTGGCTGATCCTGCATGGCAGCCCTAGTGTTTGCCCATTCTCTAGCTTTGGCTCCCCAATCTTCCACATTGTGGGCTGGCACCAGAATAGTTTTGAAAGCCAAATCCATCAACACCAACATACCATAAGACAAGCATAGGTTCAAATTAACTTTCACTCACAGAGGCACGTGGCTCGTGTAGGTAGCAGAGCAGAGAGAGGTTTAATCTCTAGGCTTCATTCAGTAATAATTTAAAATACATTCATATAAAGAGTAAAGAATGGTCATGTTCCATTTAACTAAAAACAAAGAGCTCAACATTGAATTAACAAGTTAAAATTTTTAGTTAAAGGATTATTACTCTATACATTGATGGTGGAGTTTAAACCTCCACAATCAGATTTTTATGCATGGTACATGTCCTATAAACTAAATGTGTAAACATAGGCTCCGTTTGGTTGGTGCTTTTGCTTTTCGCTTTTCTCAATAGAAAGTGGAAAGCAAAAAAATAAACTGAGACAAAAGAGATAAATAGGAAAAAGCACAAAAGAAACAAAGCCTTAGTAATTCAATTTATATATTTTCTTATTTACAATTAGAGACATATGATACATAACATGGATATAAAAAGCTGGTGGAGCTTTTAAGCTTCACCGCTGGTGTATAAGTAGTTAAATTAACATGCACCAAATCAATAAATCTACTCTTCCGATGCATAGGATAATAATCCTTCAGAAAAACCCAGATTAACATTTACGAAGAGCAGCCCTAAAAATATGGAGATTTACGACCTAATTCTATTGAAACCAATCAAAAGAGAGCTAAATATCAAGAAGGATGAAACAAGAAAATCTGAATAATACCAACCTTGTTGATGAGACCAATTTGGATTGCTCCATTCCTAGAGAATGAAAACAGAATAAATTAAAAAAATAATAAATTGAGTGGACCAAATAAGTAGCATTTTACTATACAATAGAAATAAAATTAGAGAAAAAAAGGCATAAAAGGATTAAGAATTACCTGATTTCCGTGAGAGAAAGAATGGGGAATCTGTGCAGGAGGCATATAAGGTCTAGGAGGAGGAGGTGGTGGAGGGAAGTGGTTACTTACGTTGTGGGGGTGGGAAGGATAAGGAAGAGGAGGTGGAGGATAAGCGGAATGATCGGAGTGGGGAGGTGGACCCCACGGGGAAGGCGGTTGCTGAGGGGGAGGAGGAGGGGGTGAGGGAGTAGTGTGAGATTGGTTGTGATGTTGCTGGTACTGAAATTGGTTGGAGTACCATGAGCCCGGTGGTGGAGGTGCAGCTGCTCTTGGGGGAAGCGGGGGTGGTTGGTGATGGTATTGAGGGTGGTATTGGAGGTGGGCATCCATCGGGGGTGGTGGTTGGGATGGGAGTGGTGGCGGCGGAGGTCTCATGTAGCGGTGCGGCTGTTGTTGTTGATACGCGTCCATTTGTTATAGGACTAGAATTTTTCTTGTTTTTAGGTTTTGATTTGTGGTGATGTTTATAGGAGGGTTTGCAGGAGCGTTCGTAATAAGTAGTAGTAGTAGTATGAATTATGATGAAGGAAAAATCAGAATATGAGAAAAGGATATATCTTTTGGTTTTCTTTCTTTTACAGGAGAGGAAGTAGGGCTGTAGTTGGACCCATAGGCATGAACCCTAATTTGTCGATTATATGACTCCCGTGTAAAGATGGATGAAAATTTACATCACTGCCATTCTGGTGACCAAGTCCCAAACTTTTTTTTTCCCTCGAGGCATAATTTAACAGAATTTGTGTGCTTTTTTTTTTTATAATACTAGTGCAGTGCATGGATGAAAATAAACATTTTTGTTTAGTTTTTTTAAATGAATTTTTTGGTTAGTTGAATGGGTAACAATTGAATATTTTTACTTGTAAGATTTTGATTTGATTTTTTTATTGTAAGCAATATTTTTGGTGAGTTAATTTCTTTATATCTAATTTTTTTACCCAAAATAATAAATTTTTACAATTGTTGAGATAATAATAAAACAAATTTCTTGTTATTGTCATTGCGAAATGTATGTTAAGAAAATGGGGGTTCAGTCCCACATAAGTGATTTTGAATCAAGTAAAGGTCATGAGCTTTGATCTTTTATTTTACACAGAGCCCTAACTACTTAATAAAAAAAGAGGTGGGTTGTTTTATGTGTACGTCGAAAACCAAGCAGAGAATGAAGAAAAGTTAGAAAAAGCAGAGAAAAAAAGAAGAAGGGAGAGTTGGTTGAACGAAAGTCGATCCGTGGTCCGATTGAGTTGAAACCTTGTCAGGAGGTTTATGATTCAAAGTTCTACATTCTGAACGGTGAAGATCATGTTTGAAGCTCTCTAGAAACAAATTCATGGTGTATTTGTTGAGTCACTTATTTGGTGAGATTTCTCCAATTGTTTTCTCTAGTTGTTGTTTAGCTCTAGTTTTAGCTAGAGAAAAACGTTGTATACCTATTATTTGATAGTGAAGATTTTTCTGGTGATTCGTGATTTTTTTCTTCTACACTGGAGAGTTTTTCACGTAAATCGTGGTATGCTTTATTTTTTTGCGTCTTTGATTATTGATTGTTGTCTATTGCTTTTGTATTATTGTGATTATTGCTTCAGGCACAACAAGTGATATCAGAGCGAGGATTATTTTGAGATATCGATACAGAAGCAACTCAGGATAGAAGTAAATTCTGTTTGAGATCATAGAGGGTGATACAAGTTTCATGATAAAATTGACAGCATCGAATTATTCAATTTGGAAGCCTATGATGGAGGATCATCTATACTACAAAGATTTATATGAGTCAGTATTGGGTGATTCGGCTAAATCAGCGGATATGAAAGATGAAAGCTGAAAGAAGGTAGGTAGAAAAACGCTGGCTACAATAAAAAAATAGGTTGATATCAGCGTGTTCCATTATGTAGCGCAGGAGTTAGATGCTCACATTGTTTGAGAAAAATTGACAGCATTGTATAAGAGAAAATAGGTATGAATAAAGTTATACTTGTTAAAAAGCTTACAACTTTACAGTATAGGGATGGATGATCTGTTACAGAGCACTTGAGTGATTTTCAAGATATATTTAATCGGATGACTACTATGGAGCTTAAGATGGATGATAAAATGAAGGCGTTATTTCTTTTGGGTTCATTACCAGACAGTTGGAATACTCTAATTATGACTGTTCTTAATTCAGCTCCTGATTATAAGGTGACATTGGGGATGGTAAAAGACAGTATGCTTAATGAAGAAGCAAGGTAAAAAAATGTAGACCATGAGAATCAAGCTCTGGTTACAGAGAACATGGGTAGAAACATTGATAGAGATCAAGACTCAAAAGGTCGTGGTAAGTCTAAACATAGATCCAAGTCTAGAGATAAAGTGAAGTGTTTCTATTGTGGTAAGGCGGGTTATATAAAACGAAACTGTAGAATCTTGAAGCAAGAGCAAAAAAATGAGAAAGACAAGAGTTCAGATGATGGCAATGTTGCAGCAGTAAATTCAGATAGTGATTCAGTTACTTTGATTTGTACACATGATGATTGTAATCATATTAGTGATCCCGACATTGAGTGGATAGTTGACACAGGAGCGACATATCATTGTGTTCTTAAAAGAGAGTTGTTTATAACTTACAAAGCATGAGACTTTGATTGTACCAAAATTGTGTCGTAGATTGTTGAGATTGATGATATTGTTGTACAAATTAGTACAGGCTGCATGTTAACTTTAAGGGATGTTAGACACATTCCAGATATGAGAATGAATTTACTTGCTATTAATGTCTTTGATAAGGAGGGATATGAAAGTCGACAAAAGAATGGACAGTGAAAGCTTCTCAAAAGATCTATGGTAGTTGTAAGGAGAAAATTATGCTACACAATGTATAAGACATGGATGCAATTGAACGGTAACCAGGTAAATATCGTTCAAAATGATGCTTCAACAAACTTGTGGCACAGGAGGCTGGCACACATGAGTGAAAAAGGGTTACAGGTTTTAGCAAGGCAGTCTCTCATTCCTTTGACCAAAGTTATGTCTTTCGATTCATGTGATTATTATTTGTTTGGTAAGCATCATAGAGTTTTTTTTTCGTAAAAGTTCTTAGAGAAAAGAAAATATATTAGAATTAATTTATTCTGACGTATGTGATCCCATTGAGGTTGAGTCATTAGGTGGTAACAGATATTTTGTTACTTTTATTGACGATGCTTCACGTAAAACTTATATGTATATGTTGAAATACAAAAGTCAGGTACTACAATATTTTTAAAAATTTTATGCCATGGTTGAAAGGATGACAGGGTTACCCTTGAAGTGTATTCGAACTAATAATGGTATGGAATACACATCTAAAAACTTTGAAGAGTATTACTCAAAACATGAGATCAGGCATGAGATGACAGAACCTGAAACACTGTAGCATAATGATATAGCTGAAAAATGAATCGCACCACTGTGAAAAAAGTCAGATGTATGTTGAGGATGGCAAAATTACCAAAGCCATTCTGGGGTGAAGCAGTCAACACAGCTTGTTATTTACTTAACAGGTCACCATCAGTTCCTTTGGGCTTTGACATTCTAGAAAGAGTGTGGACAGAGAAAGATACTTCATACTCTCACTTAAAATTTTTGAGTGTAAAGCATTCATGCATGTGCCAAAAGAATAGATATCAAAGCTTGACAATAAAGCTACACAGTGTGTGTTTGTAGGATATAGTGATGAGGAATTTGGCTACAGGATATGGGACCCAGTAAAGAGAAAGACAGTCAGAAGCAGAGATGTGATCTTTCATGAAAAAGAAATCATAGCAGATTTTGAGAAAAATGAAAAGACTACACGGGTTACTATTGAGTGTGATGTTTTAACACCGATAGGAATTTCACAGGAAAGAGTCACAGATGGTGAAAATGAGCAAGAAACAGAACTTGAGGATATGAATGAGCCAGCCACAGTAGGTGATGAGCCAGATGCAATTAGTTTTGAGCAGGAGAAACAATCTTCTCTACCTGAGAGTGTTGAGCAGGGGAGCTACCTTCGGCATCAAGTGATATAGAGTCTCAGCTTAGAGATCTACTGGAGAGCGCAGGCCATCTATCAGGTATCCAAGTTCAGATTTTATTTTAGTTACCAGTGAAGGGGAGCCAGAATACTTTCAAGATGTGCAGGCTACTTCGGATAAAGAGCATTGGTTAAAAGCAATGAAAAAAGAGATTGAGTCATTACGAAAGAATGATACTTATGATCTTGTTAAACTTCCAACAGGAAAGAGGCCATTAAAGAATAAATGGGTGTTCAAGTTGAAAAAAGATGGTGACAAACTAGTGAGGTATAAAGCTCGATTGGTAGTAAAAGGTTTTTCTCAGAAATCAGGCATCGATTTTGATGAGATTTTTGCTCCAGTTGTAAAGATGAGTTTTATTCGAGTGGTACTGGGATTGGCAGCTAGTTTGAATCTTGAGCTTGAGTAACTTGATGTTAAAACTGCATTTTTGCATGGTGATTTGCAAGAGGAGATTTATATGAATCAGCCTGAGGGTTTTGAAGTGAAAGGGAAAGAGCACTTAGTTTGTAAATTGAAGAAAAGCTTGTATGGACTTGAAACAAGCTCTGCGACAGTGGTACAAGAAGTTTAATTTTTTTATGGTGAGTCATAGCTATAAAAGAACAGCAGCAGATTCTTGTGTGTATGTTAAACAATTTCGTAATGGTAACTTTATTATCCTATTATTATATGTTGATGATATGTTGATTGTAAGACAAGATGCTAGTATGATTTACAGGTTAAAAGAACAATTGTCTAAGTCCTTTGATATGAAAGATTTAGGTCTAGCAAAGTAGATTCTTGGTATGGACATTATCCGGGATAGGAGAGCTGAAAAACTGTGGTTGTCACAAGAAAAGTATGTTGAACGAGTGCTTGGTAGATTCAACATGCAACATGCTAAATCAGTTAGCAGTTCACTTGCCAACCATTTTCATCTAAGTAAGAAATCTTGTCCAGTGTTTAAGGAAGAGCAACTAGCTATGTCTAGTATTCTTTATTCTTCTACAGTCGATTCTTTAATGTATCTTATGGTTTGTACAAGGCCTAACATTACTCATGCAGTTAGTGTAGTGAACAAATTTCTTTCTAATCCGAAGAAGGTTCACTGGGAAGTAGTGAAATGGATTTTTAGATATTTGAGGGGTACCTCAAAAATGTGCTTGATTTATGGAGTTTCACAACCAATTCTAAAAGGGTTTACTGATACTGACATGACAGACGATCTTGATGGTAGGAAATCTACTTCAGGGTATTTGTTCACTTTTGCAGGAGGAGCTGTATCTTGGTAATCTAAGTTACAGAAGTGTGTTGCTTTGTCAACTACAAAGGCTGAGTATATTGCAGCAACCGAAGCATATAAAGAAATACTTTGATGAAACATTTTCTTCTTGAATTAGGGTTGAATCAAAAAGAGTATGTGATATTTTATGATAGTCAGAGTGCTTTAGATTTGAGTAAGAATGCCATGTACCATGCTAGAACAAAGCACATTGATATTAGATATCATTGGTTACGTTAAGTGATTGAAAAATAGCAGATGTTATTGAAAAACGTCCATACTGATAAGAATATAACAGATATGTTGACTAAGATACTTCCCAAGAAAAAGCTTGAGCTTTGCAGTAACTTGACCAGAATGAGTTCCCTGGCCAAGGTAAGTTCCAAATAAAACTGCTATGGTGATGAATCTCCTCCTAATGGGGCTGGAGGGAGAGATTG